TAAGTGAGCACATAAGCTTAATGGGCCTAAAGCCCGTTTCGAACTGGGCTATTTATTTAGTTAATAATGGAGCGAATTCTGAGATGGATTAGTAGATAGGATAGGGTCTTGACCCTATCTACTCAGAGAGTCTAGATCTGAATGTGATTCAGATTTAGAAACATCCTAATGAGATTAGGAGAAAGCTAATCTAATCTGCAGATAAGATAGGGGTTTATCCTTATCACCTGAAGAGAAGGCTGATCCAAATATGATTTGGATAAGCAGTTCCTAATGAGATTAGGAACTGATCTTTCTAGGTTAACAAAAGAAGGGGGCAGCAGCCTTTAGAACACATCAGATTTTCTTTAGTGCTGAAATCAAGAAGAGAGAATTCTGCACCCTGCGAATACTCTCTTACCGCCTCCCTGTTCTTGCCGCCCTGTTTGCCAGTTTGGTCTCTAGTTGTGGGAGAAGTCAAGATTGGATCTTGACATCAGTTCTTTGAGAAAGGATTGAAAGGAAGCTGTGCTCACGTACCATCCTGCTGATTCTTGYGAAKGACAGAGTTCTTGGAGAAGAACACTGCTGATTCTGCTCCATCCTGCACTRCRCCATCTTYAGTGGGAGCAGTTTTTGGATCCTTCCTTGGGCGTGAACACCTCCGTTGGGAGATACTATTTCTCCGTATCATGAATAATTCTCTCCTACTCCTTTTGGTTCAGATCTGATTCAGTTTAAGGTTCAAAAATGATCATTGAAAATATGATTTTTTGAAAAGGGAATGCAATTCCCAGTTGAAGGGAGAGAAAAATTCTTGAAATTCGCCCCCTTATTCCGCAATCTTTGGGCGTCCATAGGATGGATCTCTCTTCCCTTCAGTGTCTCTAGCTAGTTGTGAATTGCACCAAGAATTGGGTCTCCAGCTGTTCCCAGGAGGATATACACCATGGGGAAGGGAGGCGTACCATGTCATGGTGATTCCATAGAGGGTGGCGACGAAAGCTTTGCACATCAACCCCTCGAACGAGTCGTATCATCATGACTTTGATGTCTTCGACATGGTCATTGGGGTCTGAAGCTCCGTCGTACTTTTCGAACTGCGGAGGTCACCATCCAGCTAGAGGGAGTTTGTCCATGATTTCTTGGACAAAGACTTGTTCCATTGCAAGATGGTTATGAGGTTCTACGGGTCGGGCCGTTGCAGGAGCCGCGCTTCTGTCCACTTGGATGCATTCCAATTCAGCCAAGCATTCTTTCAGCTCCTTGATCTTAGTGTCTCTATTGACTGGGGCTGTGCCTATGGTCCTTTCTCCCTTCGGTACTGTAGGCCAGTCTTTAACTGAACTGGATTTGGCAATTGAGATTGGCTACTGTGGTAGACAGTGGCCGAGTCGTTCTTTCGCCGGGACCTGGGTAGAAAAGTGCAATTTGTTGTGGTCGTCGCATGCACGGGACCGAACTGGGGAGTCTAGTCTTCTTGACAACTACAGCCTTTCTTGATCGAACTGAACCCTATGCCTTTCTGGGTGACGCTTTTTGGGGTCCTTGGAGTGAAGATCAGCTGTAGTAAGTGCTTGCGCAGGGGAATGGCCTAGAGGCCTGTCTAGCTGTCCCAACGTCTACATCATTGCAAGAATCTGGTCAACCTTTTGCTACATCACCTGGAACTGTGCGGGGTTGACTGTGGCTTGCTATTAGGGCTCCCGAGGTGGAGAGCTATGGTGAGAACGAGATCCCCAATATGGGGATCATTCTCCAGAGCAGTCGGATGCGTTTCTTGGTATGATTCTTGATTGCACGGAAAGAGATTTGGGAATGACTTTTCGTACATATCCCACAGACGGTGCCAATCTGATGTTGTCCGATCCGAGGTGGTCTCGAACCAAGATTGTAATTAGATAGTCATACCAACTGGTGAAGCCAAGGTGGAAGGACGAAGCCACACACCAAATCTGAAATCAAGAAAGAGGATCAAAGACCCGAGGAGTTGTTCCCCGGGTAAGCACTTCGACCCTCAAATCAGTGGTCTGAAAGGTAGATAGTCGGGCCAAGCAGTTGAGAATAATGCTGGTCCAAGCAGAGGAGGCAAAGTAACAGTATGAAGAGTCCAAAAAAAGTCTCTTGCCTTGAGCAGAGATTACCTATTTATAGCTGAAAATTCGTTTCCAATTCGGATGAGACTTTCAGGGTTGTCGGGATGAGGTTGCCCGTCGAGACCTTCGGGATAAGTCCTCTTATCCAATAGAATTGTCTTCCTTATCTGTACGGAGCTCCTCTTCTTGGTCACGCTTATCCGTTTTATGTGGTGTCGACATGGCTGAGGAGATAAGAGAGCCACAAAGGCTGCCACATGGCACCTAATAGGGATGGCCGAACATCTGGCTGGCTGTCGTAGGGACTGTAAATGATAGCACAAGCACTCACCCCACACAGGGTGCTAAGCTCACTTACCTTCTTCATCAAAACCCTTCTTCATACCTGCCTCATAGCACATTACAGTTACACGGATTAAGAGCATCTTTAATTTATATGTATATTTTCATTTATAGGAAAATGTTTCCATTGTACAACTGCAATGTTCTGAGTGAGTGCAATATGAGGAGGAAATCAAGATTCTTCGAATCGAAGCCGGCCAAACTAGAATTTTTGAAATAATTTTCACACCAAAGCCAAATCATTTTTTCCTCTTTTTAATAATATCTGTTGTTGGGTTCCCATATCATACCATTAATGTAATCGAAAGCCCAGCCTATGGCTATAGCGGGTCTCTATCTCTTCATTTTCATCATCATTATGATCCAAATCATTTTTTACTATTTCATTTCAACCCATGTCCCTAATCCTTAGCTTCTTAGCCCCTTAGCCCCTTCGATGTGCATACATAATTAAACACAATCCCAAATCCTTGTCTCTTTTATTTAAGAAAGTTGGGGTCACTAGAATACCCATTGACCTCAACTTTCTTAAATAGAAGAGGCAAGGATTTAGGAGTATTCATTTTTTGTCAACATTTAGATGGTTGATAAAGAGAATTAAATGATACTCAAAGGACATTTGTATCTTTTCAAATATCACTTAACAGCTGGTTAACAGATTGGTTAATAGCAAACATTAGATTGACACATTTTGAAAGTTCAGATACTAAATTATCACGTTTTAAAATTTGGGAACCAAAATGACAATAGAGAATTTTTTCAAAATTTTATTAGTGAGATTGATTTGATATATAACACGTAATCATATATTATGTACAAAAAAGCATATGTAACAGCTCCTGTGCTAAACCATGCAAGAATAGTTACTAATTCGTAGTTATATTCTCACATGCTCATCTGATGACTTCTCTTCCTTGTTACAATGTGCCGACATTGGATCAATAGTCTTTTACCTCCAAAACTAAAACACTAAAATCACGTTTGGATTCGCCTCTAGCGCCTTTCAATTCTATCTATTTCAACCTAAGTCACCTATCATAATCAGGAATTATCATGCAAAAAGAATTTTCAGAGCTGTATATTAAAACGACTATTTCGATGAAATACAAAATAAACATATTTTTCAAAGTTGCATGCATACCAAGGTTTTTAAAACCGAATTGGACAACTAATGGGTCCGGTTCTAGAGTCGAATGGTCCGACCATTCAAACTAAATTATGGCCCATTTTGACAAAATTAAAAAAAAAATTAGTCAAACCTTTGAATGATTCGACTGTCCAAATCAGTGGTTTGCTGACCAAATCAACAATTTTTGGAAAAATAACAATTCTGGGGTAAAATTGAATTAGTCACCTGACTGTTCCCGGTTTTTTTCGAGCTGGCTGAGTGTGGCCCATTACAGGCCTGGCAAACCGTGTTGTGCCAGCCCGTGGCGGGCCGTGCTTCGTGTCGCGCTAAGGGCTGGGCTGTGCCGGCCCATGGGCCTCGAACCCTTGACCCAACACAGCACAGACTTCTGTGCCAGGCCTGGCACGGCCCGTTAGCCGTCGTTTCGGGCCCGGCCGATTTATACCTCTATTCAAGCTGGTGGCACAAATTGCGGCAACTCTCCGTCTTGTGGTTGTGGTCTCGATGGAAGTCGATGTACTTGTCTTTGCTTCTTTTGTTGTTCTGGGACTTCATCTTTTCAAGGGAGTGAAATTTTTGTATGTTGGAGGTAGGGTCCTCAGTCTTCGGTCAGATCTCCGGTCTTGTCTCTTGCTCTCTCAGTCCTGCCTGTGGTCGTCGTGATCTCTTCTCTTCCGATCTTGTTGCTCTTCCTCACTTTTCTATAGTGCTTGAGCTTCTTTTGCGCTGATGTTTCATGAGTGTTGTCAATTTAGGAGGAGGGTTCTTCTACAAGGAGAAGTTGAACACTGAGGATCGTAGGCTGCTCATGATGGTCATGACTGCTACGGGCTAATCCAGAATTCGGACTTTGAGGGCCTCGGAGTTGAATATCACCAAGTATTCCCTTAGAATCTCTCCCTTTCTCTGCCGCACTTGCATTAGACTAGCCAAAGTTTTCTTGTGTCTCTAGCTAGTTGTGAATTGCACCAAGAATTGGGTCTCCAGTTGTTCCCCGGAGGATATACACCATGGAGAAGGGAGGCATACCATGTCCTGGCAATTCTGTAGTGGGTGGCGATGAAAGCTTTGCACATCAACCCCTCGGATGAGTCATATCATCATGACTTTGAAGCCTTCGACATGGTCATTGGGGTCTAAAGGTCCATCGTACTTCTCAAACTGCGGAGGTCACCATCCAACCAGAGGGAGTTCGTCCATGATTTCTTGGACGAAGACTTGTTCCTTCACAAGCTGGTTATGAGGTTCTACGGGTCAGGCCGTTGTAGGAGCCGCGCTTCTATCTGCTTGGCTGCATTCTAGTTCGGACAGGCATTCTTTCAGCTCCTTAACCTCAGCGTCTCTATTGACTGGGGCTATGCCTATGGACCTTTCTCCCTTCGGTACTGTAGGCCGGTCTTTAATTGAACTGGATTTGGCGATTGAGGTTCGCTGCTGTGGTAGATGGTGGTCGAGTCATTCTTTTGCCGGGACTCGGGTAGAAAAGTGCGATTTGTTGTGGTCATCGCATGCACAGGACCGAACTAGGGAGTCTGGTTTTCTTGACAACTACTGCCTTTCTTGATCGAACTGAACCCTATGCCTTTCTGGGTGACGCTTTTTGGGGTCCTTGGAGTGAGGATCAGCCATAGTAAGTGCTTGCGCGGTAGGGGAATGGCCTAGAGGTCTATCTAGCTGTCCCAACATTTACATCATTGCAAGAATCTGGTCAACCTTTTGCTGCATCGCCTGGAACTATGCGGGGTTGACTGTGGTTTGCTATTAGGTCTCCCGAGGTGGAGAGCTATGGTGAGAATGAGATCCCCGATATGGGGGATCAGGCTCTAGAGTAGTCGGATGCATTTCTTGGTATGATCTTGATTGCACGGAAAGAGATTTGGGAGTGACTTTTCGTACATATCCCGCAGACGGTGCCAATATGATGTTGTCCGATCCGAGGTGGTCTCGAACCAAGATTGTAATTAGATAGTCGTACCAAGTGGTGAAGGCAAGGTGGAAGGACGAAGCCACACACCAAATCTGAAATCAAGAAAGAGGATCAGAGGCGCGAGGATTTGTTCCCCGGGTAAGCAATTCAACACTCAAATCAGTGATCTGAAAGGTAGATAGTCGGGCCAAGCAGTTGAAAATAATGCTGGTCCAAGCAGAGGAGGCAAAGTAACAGTATGAAGAGTCAAAAAAAAGTCCCTTGCCTTGAGCAGAGGTTACCTATTTATAGCTGAAAATTCGTGTCCAAATCCGATGAGACTTTCAGGGTTGTCGAGATGAATTTGTCCGTCGAGACCTTCGGGATAAGTCCTCTTCTCCAATAGAGTTGTCTTCCTTATCTATATAGAGCTCCTCTTCTTGATCACACTTATCCGTTTTATGTGGTGTCGACATGGCTGAGGAGATGAGAGAACCACAAAGGCTGCCACATGGCACCTAGCAGGGATGGCCGAACATCTGACTGGCTGTCGTAGGGACTGTAAATGATGGCACAAGCACTCACCCCACACAGGGTGCTAAGCTCACTTACCTTCTTCATCAAAACCCTTCTTCTTCCCTGCCTCATAGCACATTGCAGTTACACGGATCAAGAGCATCTTTATCAAGATTCTTCGAATCGAAGCCGGCCAAACTAGAATTCTTGAAATAATTTTCATACCAAAGCCAAATCAGTTTTTCCTCTTTTTAATAATATCTGTTGTTGGGTTCCCATATCATACCATTAATGTAATCGAAAGCCAAGCCTATGGCTGTAGCGGGTCTCTATCTCTTCATTCTTCACAGTTCATTTTCATCTTCATTATGATCCAAACCTTATCTCAACCATAAGAAATCGGCTAAATCTTGTTATATCATTTCATTCTGTTTGATACTATGCCCACTGTTAAAATTATGAGGACTTATATCATTTTTTACTATTTCATTTCAACCCATGTCCCTAATCCTTAGCTTACTAGCCCCTTCAATGTGCATACATAATTAATCCATGTCTTTTCCCCTTTTAACTCTTTCGTTTGATCAATGAAAGAAAGCCATCTATTACGCCGTAGCTTGGTTTTATCATCAAATGAAATGAACTGGCCGGTTTTAGTGCTTTTATTTTTTAATTTTTTTTTTTTGTAAAAGAAAAACCTTTTAGACTTGTTCCCATTTTAACAAATAACCAGATTAATCAGAAATATATAGATAAGGATGTGGACCAATGGTTTTGAATTATGATAGCCAGGATGTGGACCTCAAAGCATTCTGAGGTCTGGGTACCCACCTACACATGCTTGATTTTCAGCTCTAACAAATTTTTATATTTTCAAAAGGCCACTTTTGCCCTTTTACAACTAAAAGGGTTAATTTAGACCCTAAACTTAAAAAAAGAAGACCAATCGTCGATAGATATGCACTGTATTAGTGGCATCGTTTATTATCCATTAAATAATAAATAAAATAATAGAAAATGCTGATGTAACACTATTAAATTAAAAAAATCTGAAAAATTGCAAATGGGTATCATTGAATAAAATAAAACTATTTAATATATATTTAATAAATGTTAAAAATATTATATAAATAAGACCCATTTGAACTTTCCATTTTAGTGAGAAGTAATAGGCGGGCCCATCTCTCTCTCTCGGCCGAATCTCCCTCCCTATCTTTTCCATCCTTTCCACCCGCCACCCCTGCTGTAACTCTTAGTGGCGGTTAACACCCTCCTCTCTCTCTCAGAGGTTTCATGGGAAGGGAACAATACAACCTCCAAAAAGAAGGAAGAAGTTCTGATCATGAAGAAGAATGATCATGGAGAAGAATGAAGGAAGATCGCAGTGCCACCTCACCTTTTGTCGAGAAAAAAGATTTGGCCAGAAAACCCCACCACTGCATCTCCAAAACACCCCGCTGGATCTGAGGGCTTTGAATGCAATGCCGCTATGGTGAGGTTGGTGTTGAAAATAGGTCCATTGCTGATTGTGGAGAATATGCAGATACAACCTGCAATATTAAGTGTTACTTTGGTCTCTCAACTTTAAAATGCGATAATTGAGTACTCAAACTTTCAAAACATGTCAATTTAATATCTATTGTTAATTAACTGTTAAGTGGAATTTGAAAAGACATAAATGCCCTTCGAGTATCATCTAATTTTCTTTATCAACCATCAAATTAAACGTTGATAAAAAATTAAACACAATCCCAAATCCTGGCCTCTTCTATTTAAGAAAGTTGGGGTCATTAGAATGACCACTGAGACGTGACCCCAACTTTCTTAAATAGAAGAGGCAAGGATTTAGGAATATTCATTTTTTGTCAATGTTTAGATGGTTGATAAAGAGAATTAGATGACACTCGAAGAGCATTTGTGTCTTTTAAAATACCACTTAACGATTGATTAATAGGTTAGTTAATAGTAAGCATTGGATTGACACATTTTAAAAGTTCGAATACTAAATTGTCGAAAACCAAAATGACACTATACCCAAAATACAGGATAATAATAGGAAATTTTTCCAAAGCTTTATTAATGAGATGGATTTGATATATGACACGTAATCATATATCATGTACAAAGAAGCATATGTAACAGCTCCGGTGCAAAACCATGCAAGGATAGTTACTAATTCGTACTTATATTCTCACATGCTCAACCGATGACTTCTCTTCCTTGTTACGATGTGCCACATTGGATCAGTAGTCTTTTACCTCTAAAACTAAAACACTATTGGATTCGCCTCTAGCGCCTTTCAATTCTATCTATTTCAACCTAGTCACCTATCATAAATAGGAATTTGCATGCATGCAAATTGAAAGGAATTTTCAGAGTTGTATATTAAAACGACTACTTCGATGAAATACAAAATAAACATATTTTTGAAAATTGCATGCATATCAAGGTTTTTAAAATCGAATCGGACAACAAATGGTTCTGATCCCAGGGTCAAACGGTCCGATTATTCAAACCAAATGAAGGTCCATTTTGACAAAATTTAAAAAAGAAATTAAAAAAACAAAAACCGATCAAACCATTGAATGATTCGACCAGATCAGTGGTTTGCTAATCAAATTAATAATTTTTGAGAAAATAACAATTCTGGGGTAAAATTAGGGCTGTTCACAAGAAGGCCCAACCCGACCAACCCGAACTGACCCAACTCGAGTCGGCCGGGTTTTCATCAGCACTGATCGATTTCGGGTTGGGCAAAATAATAAATCGATATATCGGGTCGGTTTCGGTTTTCTTATGTGAAAACCGAAACCGACCCGAACCAAACCGAACCAATTAGTTTTCTAGTTCGGTAGTTCCTAGTTTCCTACTTAACTAGTCTTCTACTAGAACTAGAACAACCCTATCTTCTAGTTCTTACTTAACTAAATTGTATCTATCCTAATTTCTATAGTCTTTTACACCAAATAGGCAACCCATTAGGCAATTACAATTAGAATTAGTTGTCCTAGTTCTAGGCTTCTCTATCATTTTTGTACAAGAGCAAAACCGAAACCGACCCAAACCAACCCAACCCGACTCAAACCGACCAGGTCGGTTTTGCCTATCAGTGGGTCGGTTTCGGTTTCCACCTCATGTAACCCGACCAGGTCGGGTCGGTTGGAAAAACCCCTATAAACCAACCCAACCCGACCCGTGACCAGGTCGGGTCGTACCTCTTCTTTCTCCATTTCTCCTTGACTCTCTCTCCTCTCCCCTTTCCATTACTCCCATTAAGTCATGTCACCATTCCCAACCCAATTATCTAAAAATATTCATAGAATCTCTTTTCTAAGGTATCTCCTCTAATCCATTAGAAACTTATCATGTTACCCCACTCCCTAATTAATTCCTAAAATCTCATCCCCCAATCTATATCCACTCTTTCTCAATATTTAAAATATTCATATCAATTAATAAATAGTTAAGTACGGTTAATATTTAATCCAACTCATATTCAATGAGTATTAAATAGTGTTATTACCAAAGCTTAATAAATATGGTTAGTAAATTACCAAAAATTAAATATTCTTATTAGTACAATTAGTAAATTACCAAATATTAATAAATATTGTTATTAATTAACTCATCTGGACTTTTTAAAGTATTTTGGGTAAATACTATTGATCTGTTATATTCATGTTAATTAACAATGTTTTATAGAAATACAAAACTCTTTAACTAATTTCTATAAAATTGAGAATTATATTTAATTATCAAAAAGTATAAAATTTTAGTTATCTCTATTATTATAGTTAATAACTGAATGCATATGAGAGAATACAACATTATAATGTTGGAAAATAAAATTATTAATTAATTTATATTGGAAAATAAAAGATAAATTAGTGCAATTTTGTTAATAAACTACCTAATAAAAATAAATATTTAATAGCAATTTAAAATAATTTTCAATAAATCTCTATAAATACACAAATGTAATAAATTTTTAAAAAATATAATAATTTTCAATAAATCTCCATATATCAATACGATATTTGATCAACATGTGGCTTTGACTGTTTGTGTTTTTTCTGCCTCTTTAACTCCCAAACTAACTCAGCATATTAATTGCCATTTGCCAATTGCCTTATCTCTCTATTCAAAGACATTTTAAAGCCATAACTAACCTATTAAACGAAGGTGCCAACTGACACAATTAGTAAGGTGTATGGCTGGTTGTACCTGAGATTTGGGGTCCAAACAAATAAATGTTTTAAATCTAAGAGTTCAAGTACTGTGCATTCATTAACATTTTTTTAATAACTCCATTAACTGATATTGGATGCACGGCAAGTCTAAATCTCAATCAATCGTTAAAACTATATTTACTTTTCATTGATTCATTTTTTACAAAGTATACTTTATAATACTTATCATCACATTCAATTAAATTAGGTTTTACTCTATGGTGCAGTGGATGTAACATAGACTTTTGCCTAAATCTGTCTCGATTCAATGAAATTTACTTTCTATACCATTCCAAGTTTGCTAATCAACCAAATACAACCTAAAGAATATCAAACCAGGTTAGCAATTAGGTATTTATGGTTATAGACTTTAGTTTAAACAAAATCTTCCCATAAATAAGGGTTTATAGCAGATAAAGGCAACTTTTTGTCTTCAATATCAATAAAAAATAATATTTTTATAAAATAATTAAAATAAAATAAACTTTAAAAAAAATATATCAAAAAAAGATAGTCGTACTGTTCATTTTGAGCTTTAAAGCTGCAGTGACAAGGCCTAACAGAACAAATACGCGGCATTCTCCTCCCGTATTTGACCAGCCCGCGTTGGCTTCATTCTCTGTAAACCCAGCACTTAGGCTGTCGTCTCCAGACGCCAAACCGGTGTTGCCTGCGTTTCTACCACTGCCTCCTCTGTTACTATCACCCAGCAACAAACGAACCTGCTCTTTGTGTGGCGTTTAAACCGACTCACCCAGCACGGCATTCTCCTCCCGTGTGGCGTTTGAAACGCGCCACACAAATTTGGCATTTGAAACGCAGTCGGCATTCTCCTGTTCTTTGTGTGACGTTTATTCCCCGGCAATGGCCGCATTTCCTATCGATCAGACGGCATAGATAGAAAAAGGAACAAACAAACCTGCTCTTTGATCTTGTCCACCCCGACCATGGCCGAGTCGGCAATGTTTGAGACGGTATCCTTCATGGCCTGCATTTTCGTTTGCTTTCACTGTCGGGACACGTTGATCCGTTGAGAAAGATGATGAACTGTGCGACTGCCCTTTTTTTTATATTTTTCCAAAAAAATTATCTTATTTTAATTATTTTATAAAAACATTACTCTTTAGTGATATTAGCAGAAACCCAATAAATAAAGTCAGTAGACAGTACATATATATATGGGAGTGAGGACACTTGGCACATATTGATTGCTTATTGCAGTAAATGCAGGAAAAAGAAAATGCAGCAGCCCTCAGAAATATATTGTATTCAACTTTGAGAAAGAAGTGCACAAAGCAGGCTCAGTTGGTTGAATATATATTCCATCTAGTTTTTCCAAATAATTAGAGAAAATAAAGGGACAACGTAACAGTTAAATGTGATGATCAGGCTTGCTACTCAAAACCCAATGGACGAATTTTGATGAATTCTCAGTCGTTACTGTAATTCCTAGCACAGGACCTTAAGTCTAGGAGATCTGGTGCATCTGGATTGGTGTTAGAGGTTAATTCCATATGGAGAAATAAAACTCATTTTGTTGAATTTAAAAAGAAGAACGGCACTCACACAAATAACACGAAGATGGAAGAAAACGCAATAGGAATATAACACGAAGAACAGAAACGTGGATTTCAATTAGTTTCGTACAGGATCAAGACAAAAGTGAATGTCGTCTACTTCTCTTTTTCTCCAACCTGCATGTGATGAGATAAATGTAAATCTCGCATTAATTATTACATGGGCTGAATCTCAAACTTCTATAAAAGCCACCCGAGAATGGTGAAATGACCACCAGAAGAGAAGCTGAGAAGGGAAGAGGTTTCATTGTGTGTGTGTGTGTGAGAGAGAGAGAGAGAGAGATGGGATCAAGGAGGAAGGAGTTATTGTTGGAGATTTTGGGGTTTCTTTTATTTGATGGGTTGCTTTGCATGGCTGCCGGCACGGTTTATCGGCACGATTGGGTCGTAAGTAATTAGATCTTTGGTTGTCCAGCTGATTTTAGAATTATATATTGGTGATCTGGATCGATCGATGGGGCGTCTTCCCAAGTCCCAACCCAGCTGCTTTCATCTTCTAGTTAGAAGCAGCAGCCATGGTCCATGGATTACTTGCTAATTACTCATAAAGCCGGATTAGAGCCCCTACGGCCCTACCCCAGTGTCCGCCACCACCCCATCGCATTTCATTATTTCAGCCAGAGATGAGAGAGAGGTGGGCTTCTCTTCTCAGGCCCTACACATCCACCTCTAAATTCTATTAGTTGCAGCTGTGAGAGACTAATGAATGAGTCGAGATCGATTCACATTTCACAGCCCAGCTATCTTGATGTTCTTTCATTTCCAGTCTCTGTTGGAATGATGCACCTTCACTGTCGCTTACCAATCCTGCTGCAGTCTGGAAAAAATTTAGCTGTACGTCTAAATTTGACAATCTGGGCTGTATGTGCAGGGTTGTCTATCCCAGACTGGCGAACCTGCAGAACAACCAAATTACGTTGCTCATCCATATTCCCTCCTGTTTCCTGCCACGGATGATAGATAGATCAAACAAAATACAGTCATATTTCAACGCTTTTATCGCGTGAAGATAAAAGCCTCTCTTCCATGGAGGACGCCATCTCTTGATTGGCCTTGGGGAGCAGACTGTGTCGACTCTCTGTATCTCACAGTTGATCAACTTCTGCTGGGCCAAAAGCTCAAAGAATACCCCCATCTCTCTCTCTCTCTCCACAATATATACCCCATTCACCAACCTAACCTCATGTTTTGTCATAGCAAAATTAAACTGAGTAACAGGTTATTGGGCCAGTGGTGATAGCTAGAGTTCATATATATATATAAAGGCCTAACTGACTGAACTGCTGGGTTGGTAGCCCTGCCCTACTGTCAAGGACCAAAATTAATCCAGAAGACCCTGAAATAAACTTGATCCTGGCTTATGGTTGAATTTTCTATTGTTAATATTAATTCAGGAAATCACTACAAGTTGGAGACAGGGATGATGTGATCAGATCTGGAATTTGACAAGAGACCGATTTAGGAAATCATTTTTTTTTTCTCTTTCTTATTATTACTATCACTGCTGCTGCTTATGTTCTTACTGCTGTGACTGATCAGGAATATGCTGATTAATTGTTGTGTTGTTGTAGTTGACAGAAACAAACTACACTCGATTGTGTTATACCAAGCCTATCTTGACGGTGAACGGCATGTTTCCTGGGCCAGAGCTGCATGTCTACAAAGGAGATACCGCCATTATTAACGTTGTAAACCAAGCAACTTATAATATCACTCTTCACTGGTATGCCTAGACTTTCCTCTTCTTCTTTGTCTTTTTTGTTTATCTTTGCACGAAAATTAAGCTGTAATACTTAGACCTGACTAATTAAATAGAGGATATATCTGCTAGTTGGACAAATTAATTATTAAAATTGGCAGACACATGCAGGAGTGTTTTGGTGCAAATGTCTCTTGCTTTCAAGTTTCAACCTCTGGTAATGTCTGTTTCATAAAGAATAGTTTAAGTCTTTGACTTCTTTAATAATGAAGTTAAGATTTAATGCCTGTAAATATAATATGCAAGGCTCACATTAATGATCTGATGTTGTACTAATGTTAAATAATTAATATACTTTTGCTTAGGTAAAAAAAAAAAGAGTTATTATCATAGAAAAGTATAGTAGGAAGAAAAAAAAATAGACATTGAGCTTAACTAGACAAAGCTCACACATGATTGGCATCAGATGGAAGCCCCAATGCTTTCGAATTTTGATAGCTCTTTAGGCTCAGTTTTAAGCAGTACAAATACAAATACGTAGAGTGCAAAATTTTTTATTTCGTATTTTTTGTATATATTTGTATTATACATGTTTTGTATTTGCACTCTTTCCAAACTGAGCCTTAATTTTGTGGCCACAAAAGCAATTAGAAATACGACTCTACAAGGTGCCAACCAGCTGGTTGGTAAGGTCTCGGGCTGTTCGTAGTGGAGATTTGAGGTCAAATCCCTCCATCACCTAGGTTGGGGGTTATGGATTGAGGGATTGGGAGATGGGCTATCCCCCGTTGTGTAGCCCTTCAAAAAAGATTAACAAAAAAAAAGGAATATGACTGATAATAATTACAAAATACACAAAAGTTAAAAGGGTTATGGAGTCTCTTCTATTGGTTATTTATTTATTAGGTTTAATTATGATACCAGAAAGATATCATATTCGAAAAACTTATGACCAATTAATCGGTATCAAAAATGTATTAATAAATTAAATGGTATTCATCAAAATATTCACAAATGGGCTTCGATTGATCAAAGCTCTTCTGGTATCATGTAGTAAAAAAATCTCGGGCTATAGAGAAAATGAGTCCGACAAAAAAAAAAGTAAAAGAAAATGTAATTCATTTGTTATCATATACAGGTATTTTGGACCTTCATTTTTACATCTATAATTTAATTTGATACTGTATACAGATATTTTTTTACCTGTAAAATGGATTCTGGATTACTGTGATGTGAGTCTGTGGAACACTGGTGTGTTTATTCATGATTGGTTATTCATGATTGGTTATACAGCCTGTTACAAATGCAGTGTTTACGACAGATGCCGATGCCGAGAACATAAAAGTATCCTCAATCAGGCAGATCTATAATGACAAAGTTTCACTCGAATATTTGGTTTAAAAAGGTGACAATTATGGTTTTATAAAACGATCCGGAAATGGAATTGTTTTGGCCACTGGTTTTTGGGTCGATGGTCCGATCGTCCAGTTCAAATGAATGGTCCATTTTGATAAATAAATTAAAAATATATAAAAAATAATTAAAAATAAAAAATAGTCAAAAACCTTTGAATGGATCGATGGTTCAACTGTCTACATCAACAGATTGTTGACTTTTTCAATAATTTTTGGTCAAAGATCAGGTTTAAAGTAAAACAAAACCAGTTGCCTAGATGATTCCCGAGCAAAATGGTCCAATCATCCCAATCAACAGCAGTTTGAAAACCATAATGCCAATTGACTTTATTGGTTGTAGAGAGCCTAGAGACTTGAAATCAAATCTCATGTTAATCACTGTCTTCCAAATTAAAATAAAAGAGATCGTGACGGATGTTCCCATATATAAAGGATAAAGGAGAAGAATTGTATTAGATGGATAACTGACATGAATTTTTTTGTCAAACTCTAATCATGATTATTGATAAAAACCCCTATTTTTAATTATTTTAAAATCAAATTATTAAAACAGATGATGTGATGTCCAAACATGAGCAATGAACATCTCCAATCTCCATCAAATCCAAATGCTGATTTAATTATAAACATTAGACATCATTAATGGCATCGTGCCCACCACAACTATTTGCACAATTTGGAACTTTTGCCAACAAATCGATTCATCAGCTGCCTTATGCCTACTACTTACTACCTACTCAATAACCAGTGCATGAGTGCAAAACTTTTTCTGTCTAACTCATACAGTAACCATATATATTAATTAGTCTGTTCCATAGACATATAGAACAAACATGCTGACCTACTTTTGTCCTTGATTCATTATTTATTCCCTCTATATAGTCTGTAGATAGCTTTATCAAAATAGACAGTTATTAATCAGTTCCCCACTTAACTAACCTAGCAGATCCTTTCTTCTGAGAGTAGCACTATTTTTTGTCATGCTCACAGGCACGGACTGAAACAGCCAAGGAATCCATGGTCAGATGGGCCAGAGTACGTGGCTCAGTGCCCAATCCAACCAGGAGCAAATTTCACTTACCAGCTTATTTTCTCTGATGAGGAAGGGACCATATGGTGGCATGCACATAGCGACTGGTCTCGAGACACAGTCCATGGGGCTATCATGATTTACCCTAAGAACGGAACCAGCTATCCTTTCGACAATCCTCATCAAGAAGTACCCATTATACTCGGTATGTATACATGAAATAATGTGATCATGATAGTAGATAGTATATTTTTAAAACTTTTTATAATTATTTTTATATTTCTATATTTTCAAAAATTATTTTTACTTATCATATTTATTATGGTTCAAAAATATAAAGATATGTCTAAATAGAATTCTTGAAAAGGTAACGAGAATTAATAAAAATCTTATTATTCTTATTTATTATAGTTCATTAATAAAATTAATAATTTTTATCACTTACCTTCATCAGAATTTTATTTGAATTCTCATTACCTTTGCAAGAATTAACTTCTATATGATAAATCCAACTTCAACTCCTTCAACTTTTAAAAATATCACTTATTCATGTAGATATCTTGACAACCAATGATGCGGACTTTACGATAACGGAAATGAAAAATTAACCCACTGTATGGTGGGAATAAAGAAGATAAAACCATCTGCTACCTTAATAATCAAGAACTGAACTAATGAAAAAAAATAAAAAAATAAGAAAATAGTTTAAAGAATAAATTGTTCATCCATTTGCAAGTTGGAAGTCTCTTCATAGTAGTTAATGTGGCCCAACATTGACTATTGAGAACATAAGTAAGATATACTTTCAGGTTTTTATTTATTTTTTTAATTTAAATAAATGAAAGGGTAAATTACTAAAACCTCCCGTAAAATTTTTGATCATTGCTGAACCCCCCTAACATTTGGTAAATGCAATCACCTCTCATGAACTTTTCGGAACAGTTGCAAGTAGACCCTCTATTAGAATCTTAAAACAAAAAGCACAAAAATGTCCAAAATACCCATGTAGTTACTTTTGAACAAAATGTTTATTTTCCAATTTTTTTCTTCATATCAATCACTACCCCAATCCCTTCTAATCTCTTTTTTGGAATTGATGTATTTTTCAAATTTGCCCTTCATATCAATTTCTCAAAGGTAAAATTGCAACTTTAAGCTCTTTTTTTGTTGTTCATAACATTTATAGTGTTTTTTTTTTTATGTACAAACCAGCCTCAATATTAATTACATGGGTATTTTGGACATTTTCATGTCTCTTGTTAGAGGATTTTACAAAGGGGGTTTACTTGCAATTGTGTCAAAAAATTTAGGAGAGGTGATTATAATTACCAAAAGTTTATGCAACGGTCAAAAACTTCAAGGGAAGTTTTAGCAATTACCATAGTATGTTTTCTAATTATTGAACAAAAAGAATGATTTTTGTGTATTTTCCCTAACAAGCATTAAATGAGAATGTTAAATAAAATTTTTGTCATTGACTTGTTTTATAATTATGAACAAAAAGAATGGCGTTTTGTGTTTTTTTTGTAATAAGCATTAAATGAAAAAGAAGAGTCATTTCCTAATGAGCATTAATTGAGAAAAAACAAAATTACATATTTACCATTGCTCCTTTGATTCAAACATTAAAGATGGAGTATTTTAATCTAATGAAAATTCCATAAACCAACCACACCTATTCTACTTTTATAGATACTCCCTATTGGGCCCTATTAATTCTATTAAAAAAATCAGTTATGAAGTTGGGCCGACCGGGTTGAGCAGGTCTAACTCGTCCGGCTAAACTAGCTTTACCCCACTGATCAGTTATATGAAGGTTGCTTTAGGGGGATAGAGTTGAAAATCAGCCATAACCTGAACATATAGGTTTTAACCCTAGTGGCCGGAGTTAACCTGAGTCAGGTTGGACCAGGTTCAAGTTGAAGTTTTGCCATATTGAGAACCCACTTAATTATTTTTGACCCAATCATCCTTGTTTTGTTTGTATGTGTAGGAAATTGGTACAACGGAGACGTGATGGAGATTATTGAAGATGCCCTTAAAACCGGAGGAGAACCAAACAAGTCAAATGCTCACACCATTAACGGATTACCGGGGGATCTCTACAAAGAAACCTATTCATGCGCAAATCCAGGTAGCTGGGCATCAGATTAGAGTCCATGTCCATGAGTCCGTGACCATCTATATAGGTAATTAATTAATTAAATTGATGCATGGTGTGCTCATCATCAATTCATCGTCAGGAACATTTGAGATGATTGTGGAGGAGGGAATGAGATATCTACTTCGAATTATCAATGCCGGAATGAATGAAGAGATGTTCTTCAAAGTAGCTCAACATAACCTCACTGTTGTGGGATCTGATGGAGCCTACATCAAACCCATTACCACCGAAACCATCATGATAGCTCCCGGACAGACCATGGACGCCATTCTAACAGCCGATCAGACTCCGGCTCGGTATTACATGGCCGTAACAGTTTACGCCAGTGGCAATGTTCCCTACGACACCACTACCGGCACGGCCATTTTAACATATAAAAACTACACCAATTCATCGTCTCCGGTGATGCCATCCCTCCCCGCCCACAACGACACCGACACAGCAGACAGCTTCACCAAACAGTTCAGAAGCTTGGCAACCGCTGAACATCCAATCGACGTCCCAAAGGATTACGATCTCCGTATCTATACAACGATTACTGTAAGCACATTGCCCTGTGAGTCAGGAAGCACCTGCTTAGGCCCCAGCGGAACAAGACTCTCTTCAAGCTTGAACAACCAAAGTTTCGTGAACCCATCAATCGACATATTAGAAGCTTACTACAAATCGATTTCTGGGGTTTACACAACGGATTTCCCCAGTGAGCCACCTTATCCTTTTAACTATACGGGCGACAATCTGCCGTCGAGTCTTCTGACAGCGACTCAGGGTACTAAGGTGACGGTTCTAGACTACAACACTACGGTGGAGGTTGTGTTCCAAGGGACCAACTTGAACGGGCCGGAGAATCATCCAATGCACTTACATGGGTATAGCTTCTATTTTCTTGGAAGCGGTTCTGGAAATTTTAACAACGTCACCGACCCTTCTAGCTACAACATAGTTGATCCACCACTGATAAACACCGTCTCTGTCCCTAAGAATGGATGGGCTGCAGTCAGATTCCGAGCAGATAATCCTGGTAAGTTTCTGTTGTGTATATATATCTATTGCACGATCAAACTAATTCTGTCGACGGAAAGACCAACCTATGGACTCAACCGGCCGGCGGTTAGATAAACCCCTAATTAATTAATTAGCTACTAATGGTTTTGGATGATTGTGATGTTTTGCAGGAGTGTGTTCATGCATTGTCATTTTGATCGGCATGCTAGCTGGGGTATGAACACAGCTTTCAAAGTGAAGAATGGTTCCAGTGTGAATGAGAGTCTGATACCACCATCACCAATGCCACTATGTTGAGAAATGAGAGACATATATAGCAAGATCTTGGCGAGGACTAGATCATGCCATGGGCGTCGGTGTTGGGCACAAGGCATTTCTAGCTGGTTTTTACGACATTTAATTTGTATTGTTGCAGGGCTGAGCTAGGATTTTTTATTGAGGGGTCAAAATCTATAAAACATGGATAGGGGACCAAAAGTTAGGAACAAGGGCTAAAATACAAGTAAAACTTGAGAATTTTGAAGGCATAGGGGCCTATGGCTCCCCTCCCCCACCCCGTCTCCGCCCCTGTACTGTTGTGTCTTTTGGGTCATTTTAATTATCTATAAATTCAATAATGGTGATGAGATAAATATTCTTTTTCTTTTCTTTTTTTTTCTTTTTATGATATGAGATATATGGTATGTGTTTGTTAGGGCTGTTCATAAGCAGGCACAACCCGACCAACCCGGACCGATCCAACCCAAGTCGGCCGGGTTTTCATCAGTATGGGGCGGTTTTGGGTTGTGCAAATTCCTAAACCGATAGTTCAGGTCGGTTTCAGTTTTCACACAAGAAAATCGAAACCGACCCGAACCGAACCGAACCGACTTAATTCCTAGTTCAAACATGAAGTTCCAAAGCCCATTAGGCCACCTAGTTTTTGAATGGTTGCAAGAAACTTTGGATTAGTGAATAGTGATTAATGAACAACTTTTGTGATTAAATTTTCATTTAAATTTTATCATAGGAGATGGCTGAAATGATGTTCAATTTATGACTGTTTTTAAAATTAGCAAGATTTTATCACAGGGATGAACTTAGAACCGAAACTGACCCAAACCAACTCAAACCGACCAGGTCGGTTTTGCTTAACACTGGGTTGGTTTCGGTTTATATGTCAAGTTACCCGACTCAAACCGACTAGTAAACCGACCCAACTTGACCCGTGAACAGCCCTAGTGTTTGGTATAGTTTCATTTATTAAATAAACATTAATTTGTACTTGATTTGTCTTCAAAATAGTGAAAAGTACTTGATAAACTGTTTATTGACAATTAGGTGCCACTAGGCATCATTAGGTGCCACATCAGCGGAACAGTGAATAAATGCTCAATTGTTAGGAGAAACATTAAAATGAAGCTTCCTCCAATGTTTGATGCACAGATAAAACAAAACTTACTTTTGTAAATATCAATATAGTTGCTAGCTGCCACTCTATTGATATATTATTATAGAATAAAAAAAACCTTAAATTTGTGTTTATTTTTTATATAATTTTATAATTCCACTATGATTTGGGAAAGATATAGCATCTAAAAATTTTTGACCAGTCAACTGGAATCATAAATGTGATAGCCAATCAATGTTATTTATCAAAATTCATCGGTGAGTTTTGATTGGTCAAAACTCTTCCCATGATAGCGCAGGCTTTCATTCATTTTTCAGTTCATGGTATTACGGAGAGTTGGGGACAAAATTTTGTCTGCATGGGAACAAAATGAAATGCCAATACATTACACATCAGCGTTATGCGATGCTTGAATTTGTTTTAAGTAAAAGTAAGAAGGCTGGTATGTTCGTGTTTTATTGGAGATCAGATCTCTTACCAACAAAACTCTCCTAAGATGTTCCAATCAATGAGTCCAAATCTCCTTTCCACAAGAATTTTGCCAACATATACCCACATAACATCACAATCAAACATGGAGAACATCATCTTGTGAGCAGGAGATCTGGAGTCCCAACTAGCCATATTACCAGTGTACTACAGTAGGAATGGAAACGGGGCACAGCGAGGCCGGGTTTTGCCTGTCCCATGCCCAACCCCAAACCGCCCCGAATCCCAGCAGGATTATAAATCCTAATCTTATCCCCATTCCTGTGGGAATAGAGATCGCAAATTTTTCCCGTCTTGTCCTGATTATTTTTATTTGTATACTTACAAATTTATTTTTTTTATCTTTTTGAAACCTATTTAGAACTATTTCTTATTTTTATGACCTTTTGCCCTTCATTTTGGGTCAAATTTTCAAAGTATATATACCTTTCGCTAGTTTTTCCTTCCATTTTGGAAAAAGACGAGATTATCCAGGGTCATGACTGCTAGTTTAAGATAGAATTCCTCGAAAAGAAATGGCATCTAAAACTATTTCTCAACCAATATAATTTGTTTTGAATCACATTAACGTCCGTTGAATCTTCAATACTCACTGCAAATGCCAAAGCAAATCTGACGATTTTCCAACCAAGACACCCTGTTATTTTTAATTTGTTTAGATTGATTTACTTTCAAGGAGATTTCAGTGGTAAGGGAACTAGGCCTTTAGATAATTCAAAAACTGTCTTGGATTTCATTAAGGACACAGGTGTTGGGAATCTAGTAATCAATCCTCTTAATAGCTTGAGGTCTCATGGGGAAGAGATGTAAATTTGATGCAATAAGGGCAGAAAAAGGATTTTCAATATTTTCAATAAGTTCACATGTGATGTTTCACTAATGGAAAGTATGTTTAACTCTAATGGGATCAACCCACAAGGTATATTTAAGTCTCTATTTGAAAAAATTACGGTACATTTAAATCAATTTATGAAAACTTAGGGTATTAATTAAGTCTTTTGTCCTATAATTTAATATATATTAACATATATTAATATTTTTATATATATTATGTTATGTAATATAGTCGGGATAAATTTGAAGCCGGGATCGGGGTCAGAGCAGAATGGACAAATACCATCTCTACCCCATCCTTGATCCCCATAGTTTCAGGGTTCTCCGAACCTGCTCCGATTGGGGCAAGGCGGGGCCCCATGGGTACAGATAAAATTGCCATCTCTAAATGCAGTGGCCAATAGAGACAGTGATGTTGCATTTTGAATTATAATTGCATGAAATTGTTCTAGATTATATTTGAATTTAAAACCATTTTACATCAAAATAGACACAAAATAACAAATATTAAAGGTTTATGACTTATGAAACTTGTTAACACATAAATTTGGAGACAACCAAATTAATATTTCTGCAGGAAACCAAACAACCCATAAACAGTTCTGACTGCCATCTCTCTCTCTCTCTTTATATATATATAAGAAAACGGTCAAGAAATTTTCTTCTTTTTTTGAATTTTTTATTTTTTTTATTCCATGTCATTTTTTAAACAACCAATGAGATGTGCTTTCCCAATAACCTAAATAATCTCTTCTCCTAAATTTTCTCCTAAACTATCTCCCCCACTTTCTCCAAAATTATCTCTAATTCCTATTTATCTATTAAATTATCACTAATTCCTATTTATCTCCAAAATTATATCTAATTTAGTATAAAGTTCCTCTCCTAAATTATATCTAATTCCTATTTATCCTCTCCCCTACTTTTTATCTACATCTATCTAAAGAAAGTTTGGATAAAAAATTTAAGAATTATTTAAATATTCTAACAAAATTATCTAATAACTTTAAAATATTTATTAAAAACACAAAAAAGATTTTTATATTTTTACAAAATATATCACAAAATTATGTACTAACAATTTAAATTATGTTTTTCTAGATTATCAATTTAAATGATTTTCAGATATTTAACAATATGTAATAGATTTAAATAAATAAAATTCAAATAACAAAAAAATATTAAATATTGTATAGATTATTTAAATATTTAAATAACTAAATATTTATCATAACCAGATTTTAAATATTTTAAATAACGAATTTATGTAATAAATTAAAAAAAATATCTTCAAAGTAAAAAATAATTATATCATAATATTGAAATTAATAATAATATAATATATCACAAAATTAATAATGAAATTATGTAATAATAGTATATATGGTATAAATTATGCTTTTATGTGTAATTAAATTCAATAAATAATTAATATTTTAAAATTTAAATATTTTACATATTATTTAAGTATTTAAATAACTAAATATTTTAAATAGCAAAATATTTAACATAACTAGATTTTCAATAGTTAAAATAAAAAAATTATGTAATAAATTTAAAAATTTATAAAAGTAGAAAAATAACTATAACATAATATTGAAATTAATAATAATTTAATATTTTTATAATATTGTAAATAACTAATTTCACTTATATCAAATACTAATTCAAGAAAATAACTTTTAAAAAAATTATAATTTATTAATAATAATAATAATTTTAAACTCTTAATCTGTATTTATTATATAATTATATATACTAAAATTAACATTTATTGTATTTATTAATTATTTATTGTTTTTTGTGATAAATATATTTTCAGTGATTATGTATAAATTTATTTTGTTTCGTTATTTAACAAAAAACTTTCAATAATTATTGGAGATTAAACTACTATTATTAAAATTTTTAAATTTAATATATTGTACTTATTGTATTTTTATTATAACTTATTGATTAATATTTATTAGAGATCAACTATTATTTGAGATTATAATATTTATTGACTAAGTTAATATATTTTTAGTACTTATTGTATTTTTGTAATTATTGTATTTTTAATTATCATTATAAATTCAATAATTATGTATTTTCGCTATAAATTTTCCATAATTATTGGAGATTAAACTATTATTATTTATCAGAGATGAGACTATTAATTTAGCTAAAACTATAAGTGCTCATTAATTGGTTCAATTCGGATGTGCTATTTGGCTAACCAAATTGACCTGGTCAGGTTGGGGAGTTGGTCAACTAAAAACGACTGACCTTTTGTGAAAATCGACCCACTCAAGTTGTATTGGTTTGGGTCGATTTTTGGTTTGGTTAGTCGGTTCAAAAGATTTAAAGTTAAAAATTTTATTTAATTTAAAAATTATAGTGTAATCATTAAAAAATAAATTTAAAATTAGATTTATGATTAAAACACTTTAGACTAAGAAATATGGAAAATTTCCCACTTTTTCATATTAAAAAATATATTTAAAATATAAAAATATTAATATATATCCATGGTTAGGTAGTTTGATTTTGGTCGGTTTACAAAAGGCCAAAGTGAAACTGATCCAACTTGGTCAAATTGAGA